AACGTTTGTTAATCTAATGAATAATTGATTTGTTAAATCAAATGAAAAATGGTGTGTCTCATGATGGAGCGGCATTTAATACACAGAGCCGTAGTTCACTGACAAGCTACGCAATATTGCGTTCATAATCTAATGCGATTCATCTGCGATTATGAACGCGATATTGCCTAATTGTCAGTGAACTACGGCTCGGTGTAGTAAATGTCGCTCCATCTGAAAGCAGGTGATGTAGATTTACTACTAATCACGGAACCGGCTTTACTGACGAGATGCGCATGACAATCGAATGCGATTTAATTACACAGCCCTACCCGATCCGGACCCTGGGTTGGTTCCATCTGGACAGTGAATCATTTTTCATTTGGTGTAATTGTAAACAAACATACACAGCAACAGAAAACAAGAGATTTATTTACTGTCATGAATCAACAGAGCTATATACACTGCAGACTTGTTTTGAAACCTGCATAGCTACTTGCTACAGCCACTGAAAGTCCCTGTCAGACTGAAATCTAATTATTTAAAAGCATAATATGTGAACCGTTTAGTACGAATTGAATTGAAAAACATTTAAATAACTTATCAAAGCCAGCTTGTGATGTTTCTGATCTTTAGCTAGCTGATTTAAATCATCTTTAGTTTATCCGTAACGCTGTTGTAGAAATACTAATGTTGTTGTTGTAAATTGTTTAGCTTTTTAACATTAGCCCATGCAAAAGAAATACCAATACCAGTGGACTTTGTTTGACAATTAGATACAGAACTGTTCATCCATTAGAAAAAGCTAATTTGTGCATTATGAAGGATCTTTACTGAGAAGGTCCTTCATGATGGACATTCATAACTTTTTTTTAACAACTATGATTTAAAAAAAAATGCATATGAATTCTGTTGTTCATATCGTCTCTTCATTAAGTTTACTTCCTGTCATTGGCAATTATTTTATGTCACATTCAGCCTAAATCATTTGGTAGATGAACATTAGCAATGTGAAAGCAAAACAAACCTCACAAAATGTGGGAAACTGCCGTGAAACTGTTTCGGTGTGCAATACATAAATAATGTGATCGAATCAGGGGCTGTGATTTAACTGTATTACAAGCTATAATTTAATAATATAAATAAAAAATCTTGTGGTAAGAGTGGCGGATCACATAATACAATAATTATGGCTTTCTTCTTATGAATCTGAAAATATGAGTTTCCCATTTGCCCTCAGCAGAGAGAACAACATATCATTAAAAAAAAAAAAAAAAAAGAGCGCATGAGAAAAGACAAGTTTAAATTCAAATCAACCATAGGTAAAGCCTATAAACCTTTAAAAATCAAGGATTTTAAAGCTTTGTCAAGCCAGCATTCAAAGTCAAACATGGCTTTTCTGGTTAAAAATTGTAAATTAAATGAGGTTAAATTAATAACTTTGAACTCTGAATTTTAAAACTCTGAACTTCCTTACGTTCAGATTTAAATGGAAATACCTGTTTGTTACTTAATTTCCAATTCCATTCAAAATCAGGAATTGAGTAGGAACATTCCCAATTTATTTCTGAATCACACACAATCCTGATAAGTGTTTAAAATACAGTATAGCCATAGTTTAGCATCATGTGCATATTCACAACAGACATTGTGAAAGCACAAGGCTCGCTTCACTTGACCAATACTGCAAAACAAAAGATACCCAAATGGAAAATGATGGCTTATTATGGCTAATCTACTTTTTTTTTTAAATGGTCAGCCGAACAGTAAACAAACGATTCAACCAAATTTGATTGGGCAGCAGAAGAAGACAAGACACACAGCTCTTTAAAAAAATCCAGGCCCCTCACATAGCCATGATAAACTAAATAACAGCTCAGGATTAACACAGAAATTCATAAACGCAGTCTTCAGCCCACATAACAGATGAGACATTATGTTTGTATGTATTACATCACATGCAATTATCCCAACGTACAGTGTTCTTTCTGAATGCCACGGTAATGAAAGAGCATCCTTTCTGGCCTACCCTCCCCCTTCCTCTCACCTCCTCTCCATCGTTAAACACTGACCTCCACCTGACATATTCTCAGCCAAAAAGAACAATCCATTTAACCAGAGTCACAACTGAACAAAGCTAATTTTCATACATTACCCTTTTTCTTAGGAGAGCACTTAACACTGACATCAGACGCAGGAGAACCTCTCAGATTCAACCCCGAATCACAACATCACATGACTCTGTACCATCTGCTCCTTGCTTATAATCATGTGACCTGAATAAAAAAAAAGTGGGATTATGGGATGTGTAGTTTGGAGAAGCAATAGAAAGCGATAAGAATGAGTTAGATTTAAAAAATTGTATGACTAAATAGAAAATGTGAAAATATTGTGACAAAATATATTCAAACTACAGGAATTGTTGTAAATATTATAAATAATAATGTAAATAATTGTGTTTACCATTAAGGGAATCTAGTTCAAATTTGAATGATTTAAATAAAAAATCTTGCACTGTGCATTTTTGTTTTTTTTTCATTTTCTGTGTTTCACTTTGCATTGTAGAATCTAAATCATTAAAATAAATGTTTAATATGGGCACACTGGAAATGAATAAAAGACGAGGATTAAGTGGAAGAAAAGACTGGACCGAGAAAATGACCTTTCTGGATCAGGCAGAGAGAGTGGCCGTTAATATTACATTAGCACATGTCTGTGTGCATGTGTAGGAGGGTGGATCAGCAAACACTTCTGGGTTAAAGGAGGCTACAGACCTGACAGACGGCCCACAGTCTCCTCATTCCCTCCTGCTGCACACACACACACACATTTCTCCTAGTAAGTGGATGGAATTGTTAAATAAAGAGCATCTGAGAGGGGCGGTACATAGTGAAAGTGAATTAAGTGAAACAGGATATCACTCCCGCCACCCCTCGACCTTCACACACTCACACCGTCTGCATATGCAATGCATGTAAACCTCAGGCCCGGATCTAGGCCACTGCCAGGACCACCGGCCAAATGTGACACTCTGAATTCATCATCAACAGCACAGGACCGGCATTAATTCATGGCATACAGCCAGGGACGAGGCAAGTCCTCTACTTCACTGTGATTAGCTGAATACCCTGTCAATCAAAAGCCATGTTAGCATCCAAATGAATTAAATCTGTGGAAACTGGTGGAAAAGGATAGACTAATGGCAAATCTCAAAGACATTAACTTTTAATATTAATAGCCATATATTCAAATCCCTCATGTTACCGTGTCCTAGGGAGAAACGCATTTACTGTATTATTCCTAAACTATATTAAGCAATAATGTTTGTTTCTATATGCACACACACGTATGTGTGTTTGTGTAGTTTTAATTAAAAATAGTTTTTTGAACAAATGTTTAAACAAATAACTATTATATATTAGTCATATTAATAGCTGTATTAAATATTAATTATTAATATTAATAGCCATACATATATACATATATGATAAAAAAAAATAAAGTTTTTTTAAGAAAATGTGTAGAAAAAAAAGTGTGTGTGTGTGTGTGTACTATTTATTTGTTATTTTATTTTATATTTTATTTTATTTTATTTTAGGTAAAAAAAAAAAGCCTATTCTGTTCCCTAATCCAGAAAGGGAACTGAAACATGAATTGACCTTGGATTAAAAAATAATTTCTTATTTCTGAAACCTGTCTATTGGTTTAGTTTTTATTTGTGACAGGTGGGCATGTGCGATACAGATTCAGGGGTCACTGCTAAGGAGGTAGATGTGGCCCTTGTGTTTCCTTACACTGACTGTGAGAGAGCTGTGGTGATAGGACATGAAACGAAGCAGCATGCCACAGTCTCCAGACTGAATTATTGATGCCGCCCATCTGCTGACAGAGGAGCAGTCTGTCAGGCCTCCTCAGTGTCACCACTCTGGGGGCTCAGAGATCCTGGCCTGTGCATTCTCACCTCCTGCTCAAATAAGAGAATCACCTCTTGACCTGATCTCTCTCTGAGAGTTTTTCAGCAGTGAGAATAAGAGGAGCAGTAATATACAGTAATGTAGAATATACAGTAATTTTCTTTTAATAGGTATATACATATACCGGTACATATACATATACCTGCTTGATCATACCTACTCCAAGCCGTTGTCGAGATCGTTTAGATGTTGGTTGGAACTGTCCTTTTTTGCTTTATAAAGCTCAGAATATGTTTCTGGGTCAAAGTGACTGTGCAAAATGATGCAAAATTGATTGCAGTTTCAACTGCAATATAAATAACATTTAACATCTTATTATTCCACTGCTTATATATAAAAACTGAAAGATCAAAATGCTGCCAGTAAAAGGGGGTTCACATTTGAAACTTCTTTAAAAGAACCAAATTCAGCTTAGTTGAACTGAAGAGAATAGATTTTTTTTTTATCCATTACATTCCACTTTTCATTCCACACAGTATTTAAAACCTACTAAATATAAATAATTGCAATATAACACATGTGACATTTAAAAAATATAATAATATATTTTTTCAGGTTTTTTGATTTTATAAAATATATTATTTTGATATTTAATATATCACGTATTATAAAAATCAAAATATTATTATTATTATTATTATTATTATTATACAGTAGTAGCATTTCATAATTTATGCACTCCAAGGCAATCTGGTTAAAATCTCAAGAGGAAAACTAAAGACCTGTGTAGTGCGCCCTTGTGTAGTAGATAACAGTTTTTTCTTTAATATGAAATATACCAAATATACAGAAATTTATGGAGGAAATTTTAAGATTACATTTGTCACGTGTATGACTTAAGACAGTTTCGGGTAGTCCTGCAAAATCTTTTACATTTAACTACTGTATCTGAAACCATTATAGTTTTTGTTGTTGTTTTTTTTCTCAGGTGAATTTTATATTCCCCACAAAATGCAAACCCCTCTCAATCTATAATTTGTATTTCTACGATCAATAGTGGTTTGGACTCCTGCTTGACCATTCATTTATGAATAACTCACACAGTCCTGTCCATAACCAAAATGAGCAAAATGGCACTGAGTCAATGTGCTTTGACAAAAATCATTGGGCATCAAAAGACTAACAAGGCAGTAATGGAGGGGTCTGCATTATGACATACAGCAAATAAGTGCAAACCAGCATTAACATGCAGGGTTTATTTTCCACTCTGTGACTAGGGTGTTTGTGAATACCATAAATGTGAATTAATATTTTCACACTTAAAATCGGTCACTTTTTATCAGTTATTTTCTCTTACTATTGTGTGTAGCCTTTAGCACCTTGCCAAACCTGTAAACCTTAGTTCTAAATCACATCTGGCCAGGGAGGACTGCGTAAATAATTTTTATGTAAAAATTAGCATTTTCGAATGCACATGTTGGTGAGCCATTCACAAGTAGGCACAAAACTCTCCAACATTACCTTGCTGAATGAGGGCCCATTATCGCACATCAGACTGATCGCTCCTGTTTCAGGATTCAAACCTGGCTGCATGGTCCCTTTGGAGTACAACAAACACATTTATTTTTGCTTAAGCTCAGAGTATACTTAGTTTTTTTTACACATACGCTTGGCTATGCGTTCATTGCGTTTGATCCGAACTTCGTCATCAGCACAGTATGCGCATACTGTACACGCACAGCCCGATTTTACAGTGTACATGCGGCTCCCACATGCACTTAGATTTTTTTTTTTACATTATTTATTTATTTATTTATTATTATTATTTATTTTTTGTTTTTTGCACTAATTAGTTTGTCCAAAAGGTGGCAACACTGGCTCGGGCCTATAGACTGTAAAAAAAAAGATGGACAATGCCATCTCCACTTCCTTCCACTATAGAAAAGTGAAGCCAAAACATCTCAATATGGTCGATTTCATCTTGCGAAAATGACATAATTTGGAGCCAGAGTCTGCGCAGTAGTGATTCATTTGGACCCAGAGTTTTTGCGCAGTAGTGATCGTGTGGTGGAGCTGCATTATCAAAGTCCCGCCCAAACTCCTGCAGACCCAATTGCAAGCTCACAATCATGGCACCACACTCCATTTTTATCGAATCAAATAACTAACTATAAGCAAACTTATTAGAAAGACAAACACTTAAACATACATCAGCATAAGAACTACCTAAAATGATGGACTGATTATTTAATTTGGCTCACGTTCTATTCACTTACATGGACAGGGCAGAGTTTATGACCTATATTGCAGCCAGCCACCAGATGGCGATGTTTTGGCCAGATGTTTTGGCTTCACTTTTCAGGATGCCTATGGCAAACTTGCTCGGGCCTTTGTTTCACAGTTGGAAAAGGAACAGAGGGAACCGACAGTGTTGCAAAGTTAGCGATTTTTGCAATTTCCCCCATAACACAACTGGGCTAGATTTGGCCATGATTGGGTAGTTTTGAGTACCTATTGGGCTGGTTTTGTTAGACAGACCTGGCAACCCTGGAGATCGAACAACAACAACAACAAACTACTGAAGACGGCAAAAACAACAGACAACTGCGTTGACAAGTACTTACGTGAGGGTATTAAAAACGATACCTTCAACTCTAGTTTAAACAAGTGCAAAGACATTTTTATCAATGATAACTTTGAGAGAGAAAAAGCACAGACACTGGACAAGGATGAATCTTTCCAGTATGCATGTGCTGAGTGCCTGTGTTTGCGCACTATATCAAATGGAATGTACCATATTGTTCAGAATATAAGACAGCGTTTTTTTTTCTTGGAAATATATCTGAAAAAAATGGAGTCATCCTATATTCGGTTTCTAGATTTTTACATATCAATAATACACACACTGTATTATAAATAATGCTCAAAAGAAAGTATTAGCGTGCAACTTCGAGGTGATGTTGGAAAATTATGAAATACCAAAAAGCTCCAATAAATTACGTAACAGGTACTAGCTGGGACGAATTTGCATGCAGGTATGATGTCCATTCTATTAACCAGGAGCAGTTTCCATATGTTTCATTAACAGTTAATATTAGTATTGTGTATTTACCATGGTAAGTGTTATTTCCATACCCCCAAAATGCCACTTTATTTTCACTTATGTTATTTACATTTTTTTAAATGACTGTGGTGGCTCATGTCATCAAACACACTAAGTAAACACACAGTAAACACACTCACATGTGCTGTGGTTTAATATTTTACCTACACTTTTAGTCTAATAAGCTGCTGGACCCTGACACTGT